CATTCCCACCCAGCACCCAGCTGCATGGTGCTAATCTCCACGCTGTTGCCTCACAGGAAATGATTCTTGTTGACAGTGATTAATTGTGCCCCTACTTCCTGTTGCAGGAAGGAGTTTTTTGATGGCTGCAAAGCAATAAGTGCAGACAGCATTGACGGGATCTGTGCACGGTTCCCCAGCCTCTTGACAGAAGCCAAGCAAGAGGACAAATTCAAGGATCTGTACCGGTTTACATTTCAGTTTGGCCTGGACTCTGAAGAAGGGCAGCGGTCACTGCATCGGGAAATAGCCATTGCCCTGTGGAAGCTAGTCTTTACCCAGAACAACCCGCCAGTGTTGGACCAGTGGCTACACTTCCTAACAGAGAACCCCTCGGGGGTCAAGGGCATCTCCCGGGACACTTGGAATATGTTCCTTAACTTCACTCAGGTGATTGGCCCCGACCTCAGCAACTACAGCGAAGATGAAGCCTGGCCGAGCCTCTTCGATACCTTTGTGGAGTGGGAGATGGAGCGGAGGAAGAGGGAAGGGGCCGGGGGCGGTGTGCGCAGCTCAGGGCCCTTGGGCTTGTGTCCCCAGGAGCAGACTTAGTGCTCTGTCCCAGGGCGGCGCTGCCCTGGAGCCAGCCGAGGACTGGACCTTTCTGGAAATTACCGAAGATCCGGATATTTTCTACTTTACACCTTTCTCTGCCTTGTATCTGAAAGGGCTCTAAAATGCTGTATCATGTTTTAGGCACTTTCTTCACTTTTTGGTTATTTTGGTTATTTCCTTTTGGGGGGATCCCCCAAAATATTTGAACCTGGCTACATGTTATGTATCTTTTTTATAAGCCTTCAGATAGAATAAGCCTGCCATTTCTTGCACAAATAGGTTGTTTGTGGGGGAGGGCGCCAAGCGGGGGCTGGCGGTCAGCGGAGCTAACATTAGACACCAGTGCCAGGTCTGCTGTGCAACTGTTTCAGGGCAGGTCTGTACTGGGTGTGGTGCTGTTTACATGGTTGAATTGCGGTTGTGATAATTTTTAAAGATTTACACGGAGTTGACTAGCAGTGTTAACTGTTAACCATGTTGCATTAATTCCCTGTGAGTTAAAGCCCTTGGAGAGCCAGGGCCAGCCAAATGTGTCCTCTGGTGACAACCCCGTCCAGCTAATGTATCTGAACCCTCTCTCCCGCACTTCTTGCTCATTCCTCCGTTGACGCATTGCATTTCCTGTCGAGTGTACCACCAGCACGTGGCCCCTGCCAGTCGAGTGAGCGGTGTTCTAGAGCAGCCAGCACCCGAGCATCGAGAGCAGAGAAAGCAGTGCTACCTCAGTTTGGCTGGAAGCAGTCTTTGATAGGTGTTTTTCTTTTATGAATTTTCTATATTTTCATGTCGTAAGTGGAGATACTTTTTTTTTTTTTTTCATTTGCCTTGGAGCCAAAGTTTCTGTTCCTGGTGGTCGGAAACTGCCTGCAGCCACCGGACTTGAAGGAAAACTGTGGTTTGGAGCTCTGCTTGAATACTTTCTTAAGAGAATTTGAGTATCATCAGCTTACTTGTCTGGCAGGTGCAGAAGCCTGGGGCTGGCCTGAACTCTGCCGAACGTGAGTGTATTTAATAGTGAACGTGTGCCCTTTCCCTCTTGCTGCGCCGTGTCGTCACTCACCCCGGGTGTTATTTATTATCTGTGTTCCTGTCAGGCTCACTGGGGTGATGTGATGACTGTTGAGGTTTACATTACCCTCTCCTCCTTCCCCTCCCCCAAATATATATATGTACATGTATAAGATATGTGTATATTTTACCTATCTAAAATATATATGTACACATATATGTACCTATATTCCCGTTTGCCTGCTAAAACTGGCCCTAGAGGAGGGAGACAAGGGCCAGGGAACATCAGGATGGAGGCTTCTGAATCTGAGTGTGGACCATGGTCACTAAAGAGAAGATGAATTTTCTCAGCTCTTTCCTCACAAGAGGGAGGCCCAGTTGCCCGACTCCTGCGCTCGCTCCCTGAGGCCGGCTTTGGACGCTGCCCAGGAGCTGACTGTCCTACCTCGCTTCAGTGGAGGACCTGTCCTTTCCCCCTTGAAACCATGTCCTCCGGCCTGTGCTGGAAGGGTGGCGGAGGAACTTTGGAACAGATGGAAAAGGGAATCTTTTAAATAAACGTATAAAACGCTTATATTTTTGAGGTAGCGAGTTTGTCTGTGGAGCGTTTGGCGTGTTCTCCCTGGCTGCCCCACCTCCTTCCAGGCTCGTTTCTCAGCCTGGCAGCAAGTGCTTGTGCCGAGGTCCTTGACTCCCCTTACGGATTCAGACTCCCCTCTTGACAGATGGTTATTTGAAGGGTTTCTGCAGTCGATGTTTTTCTGAAATTGACATTGACAGGGAATGTAATTGGAGTTTGATATTTGTTGCCTCTAGAGGGTGGGTGGTCAGCAATACTGCTGGAGAGCTGGAGAGGTGGGGTCTTGGGACAGGCGTCTGCGTCCTTTAGCCTGACACAAGGTCCTTGTGTCGTTTCTAGGGACCCCAGCTGGTTCTGTGGGTTCAGTTGTAGTCAGGATGCCCAACCTGAGGGACCACCTTCTCATCCAACTGTCTGCGACCTCCTGTTTTTCCCAGTTCTGAATTGGGTAGAGGGGCAGGTGCCCTGGCCAGTGCACAGGAGAGGGAGGCCAGGGTCCTGAGGACCGGAGGACTGCCTCCTCCCCAGCCGACAAGAAGGCATCTCCTGCGTTAGGTGGACTAGAGCGGGTGGGTTTTGTTTTCAATTGTTCAGCTTCCCTAGGCCCACTGAAGAACCATTTTTTAAAGTTTTCAATTATACTTTTAATGATAATTATTACAAAAATGCAAATGAGAACCAGAAAAGGGAGCAGTTGGAGAGAGACTTCCAAGTTCCCTCCAAGTTTGTCTCCCTGACGGAAGTTCTGTAGTGGCTCGGCCGGTGCCCACAGGAGCAGGCTTCCTGCAGAGGGGCCCGAGGTGGGAGTGCGGGGTCTTGTTACTCTTCTGGGAAATGAAACCCC